AAATAATAATAATAATTTAAAAAATCGAGCCGGCCCAAGCCGAGCCGGCTCGGCTCGTTTGGCTCAGGTTGAGCCTTATATTTTTGGCCGAGCTTTGGCTCGGCTCGGCTCAGGCCCAAAAAAAGCCCGTTACGATTTACCCGAGCCGAGCCCGAGCCCGAGCCCGAGCCCAAAATTTCGGCTCGCGAGCCGGCTCCGCTTGACTCGTTTACAAGGCGTAGTGCCCATTCAAATATTTTATTTGAGCAGGCCCCACCCCATGTGAGAGGGTGGATACTTATATGTACCAACAAGTATGTACCCCTAGCATTTCCTGAAATTAAATTAGTGTTATAAATAACATCCACTTTTCAAATTCATTTTGAAGTAATGCAATTAATCAAATTAAAAGATTTTTTTAATGTCAAAAGAGGAATTTAAGGCTATCTTTTAAGTTTCTTAAATAACACCCATTTTTCAATTTCATGTAGAATAAATTAAATTAATGCTGTTAATAAAAACTAATGTAATCTTAAGTTAATTTTAACATTCTAGTTAAAAGGCAGTGATAAATCATCAGCGATTATTTGTCAAATTCGTTGGTAATAAGAATGGTCCCTTAACATGTTTTATGAAAAAAATAAATGTATTTTTATGCTCTTAAAGGAATTGTTGCTTATTTTTAAGAAAATATTTCTATTTTTCAAGCTTAGCCAAACAAGCACCGAGTAATAGCTCATCTACATCTACAGTCTATTAAAAGTGAGTATTGAGGAGAAACTTTTGATTATCAATTGTACCCTTACATATTTAACTTTAAGTCCAATATACTCTCATTTATCCTTATGTTTTTACTTTTCCATTTTACCCTTATATTTTTATATTTATGGTCAATAATACCCCTAAAATTAAATATATTTCAACTAAATTCAATTATTATTAAAATTAAAATTATTTATTTTTTAAATTGAGTCAAATAATTTCCGTTAAACACTTTTATTACTAATTATTAGAATAAGATTAATAAAGACAAAATAAAAATTATAACAACACTACCGGCCCTCATCTATCCTCGTGTCTTTATTTTTCCATTTTACCCTTATATTTTTATATTTATGGTCAATAATACCCCTAAAATTAAATTTATTTCAAGTAATTTTCAATTATTATTATTAAAATTAAAATTATTTATTTTTTAAATTGAGTCAAATAATTTCCATTAAACACTATTATTACTAATTATTAGAATATGATTAATAAAAACTTATATAAAAACAAAATAAAAATCATAACAACACCATATATATATAATTAACATGAAATAACATAGACTATTAAATCAATTAATATTAATATATAAGATTTATAAAAACAATAAAATTATATATACACTTAAATTTTTTTAAACTTAATATTATAGATTGAAATGTATTCCTAAAAGATTTCATTGAAAATAAAACATAACAGTGAAAAATAAAAAAATAAAAAAATTCCCGCTAACTAATGTTTACTTAGTAAGTATTAGATGAAAAGTCATTTTATAATAATTCATCAACTTTTTAATCACCATTAATTTATATTAATTTGATAAAATATTACAAAAAAAAAAATCATTTTTCAATAACTTAAGTGTGAATAGATGTTAAACATTTGATTTTGCATTTTACTTTTACGTTTTTATATTTGTAGTGAACAATACCCTTAATATTCAATTTATAACTTCTAAATAAGATAATTAATAATTCTTATTGCTTTCAAAAATTAAGTCAATTAATTTCCACTAAATACAATTATTACTAATTATTAGCATACAATTACTAAAAATGTTATTACAAACTATTAAAAGAAATTACAATAACACTATTTATATATATAATTTACTTGAAATTACATGTTTTATTAAGTAGATTAATATTAATATATAGAATTGACTAAAAAGTAAAATTACTAATACAATTAAATATTTTCAAACCTAATAATACATATTAGGAATAGTATTGCATTTCTAAAAAAATCTTTTGAAAATAATAAATTCAATCCATAATCGCAATCTTTTATTAATCAAATACATAATTAGGACATTTTATTGTCCATAATATAAATATTTTTTGACAAAAGTTCTAGCACAAATGATGGAAATAAAAAAAATAAAATGAAAAAACTATATAAGAGCTTCCTTACTATTTAAGTCTCAACTATGAATTCATAATTTATCACCCACGGAATACATATTAAGTATGTGTTTATAAATTGTTTTTCTTCCTATTTTACTTTTATGTAATGGTTAATGTGTAATTATTAATCACAAATTTTTATGGTCTTTTTTGATCGGAATGATGGCCATTCTTTTTTTACAGAGCACAACAACCAATAATAATTTTTTTACTTTTATGAATGATGAATTTTAATAGTGTGAATTATGTAAAGATTTATTATATTGGACAGTTATTTTCAATTTATTTTTTACAAATATTATATTTTTAATTGAAATTTACTTGCATTCGGTTATCCAATGCAGTACAATTTTATTTTTTTTATTTCCTCAACTCGAATCTTGTACATTTTGTCTTTATGATATTCATTGATTAGTGAACATATTTTCTTTTTTATCTTTATAATCACAATGTGCGAATGTTAGTTTTAAGGAATTAGAAATTCTAATGTCAATTTCACTTGCAAGAAATTTGGATATGAGTTGTTAGTTCGAAAAACAGTTTGGTGATTATTAAAATTTTCAATTTTCACTTAAACATTGGATAAAGGGAAAAAATCATCAAAATCTAAAATTGGATTCTCCCAAATTTCAATTGTCATATTCTTAGAATTTTTAACCCTTACAAATTTGATTCAATACACATTTCCATAGAATATTAATAATTTTTGAGATATTAATTTTATTGATTATAGTCATTTCTATAATTTATTTCACTTAGTATTGTTACCTTTAATTTGTAGGAAAGATATTTTTTATTTTTTAATTAATTATGACTATTAATCATTAAGAAAGCTCTTGAATGCATAGCCTCCCAACTTTTTTAGTTTATTTTATTTTGAGTATTAGTTTTAACGCAAAATTATTGTTAAAATTAATTATGTAAATAATTTAATTGGATAATCAAATAGTTTAATGTTTATATCGCAATACACAATTTTTTGTCCAAGTGTTTTGATATTTTAAAATTCTGTAGACATTTCTAAAGTTTTTTATTTTTTATTATTATTTTTTTAACGATAGAACATTAGTCTATCATACTAAAAAAGTGTATATTTTAAATTTTTATGTCATCATATTAAAATATTGTTATATGATATACTAATAAAATTGTAAGCATCATTGATGCTTATTAATGTTATACTGTATTTAAATATTACTAAAAATATTAACATTATTAAACGCTGAAAGATCTTAAATTTGACTTTATAATTTTGTTTAAGTTATAAATTCGTTTTCCATATTATACTATGTGCAAAGAATATTTAGAAAACTATTTGATTTTAAGTACGTACCAATTATTTTTATAATTTTTTATTATCATTTCCTTTCGACTTTCACAGAATTATTATATAAAGAGCTACATATCTCCAATGATACCTCTAGTCAAATATATTTACTTGAATTTAGTCAAATCAAAGAAAGAGATTAAATATGTCACTACTTTCAACAAATTAAATGAGGTATAATTTTTTATATTTTCTGATTTTGGATATATTTAATGAATAAAAATTATGCATCCATTTTGGCGTTTTAATATTCACATGTATACATACTTTACTTTTTAAATTTAATTTGACATATTTATATTCAAACAAATTAGATAAGAGCTTTGTTATGTTAAAGTAAAAATTTTGTAATGTATATAAAGTTGTTATTCAAAATAAAGCAAAAATGATAATAATTCAATATTACGAATTTATGCACGCCAATGTTTGTAGTAGCAATATAATTTAGTTATTTTTTGACATGCTTGCTTATTGTCAATTCAATTCAATATTTGATTATTTTAGTTCTTCATCCTCAAGGTATATTCTTTTTAGTAATTTCATTTCATATTTAATTCTCATTTTTATCCTTTGTGTGGAATCTAAATATAAATCAATTTTATCAAGAGGAATTCTTAAATATATTGTTACTAAATAGTATCCGCGCATCTCATTAACTCCAACAAATGATTAAGGATATTTATTCAAAGTTAAAAGAGAACAATTTTTAATATATTTATACTTGCAATTATCATTAACAAAGTTTAAGGATACACAATGCTTACTATTAGAATATAAATTTCTGAACATGTATTATCTTATGAGCAACTATATCTCACACTTATTTTTTTGTGGAATTTCAAGGCAGACAACAAAAGTTTTGATAAAAGACTAAAAATAGAAAATAAAAAGAAGAAAAGCTGTAGGATGTTGACAAAAAATATTGTGTACAAATAATGTTATTAAAATGAAAATATTACATCTTAATTTATTAAACATTTCACATTATATACATAATTTCGTAAAATGTGTTATTCATATACATATTTTTTAACAATTTTAATTCTTCCTTAAGAAATATTAATTACATCAACTACTTCCAAAAATATTATTAGTACTTAAAAATATTAAGTATATCATTTGTCCGATACATAAAATATGCAACACACGTATTTACTACTAGTCTTGATTAAAAAGAACAGTAATTGGCATTGGCTTAAAAAAAAATTCTCAAGCAGACAACAATCTCTTCAAGGCAGATCATGTTTGCCACAACTTAAAACGTTCACTTATAAATAGTAAGTTTTAATCCCTGTTTGTTTACTATTATTTGCTCATTAAAATGAAAAATATGATCGTTATTCATCACATTAAATCATCAAATTTGAATTTTTATCTCTTGTGTAAGACCCATAACGACTATATTTTTCATTTTTATTTTTACAAAAATGAGAAACAAATGCCCTTTTAATATAAAAATAATTTTCCACTGATTTTATCCTTATCTTTCTTCAGTTTTTTGATAAAATGATGTGCAAAAATATAAAAGGATAATGTGCATTCAATCACTTTGTGGGGAAAAAGATGCGTGACCTTTCCCATTAGTTTCAGGGGAAAGGAACATAATTAAACAGCATCAGATTAGATTTTGTTACAACAGGCTATCAATAGATCCTACAAAACAATCGGTGCATGTTTGGTAGGGACGACTTAACAGTATTGAATAGCAACGGATAAAATGAAGGTCGTCCAGTCTTATCCAATACTGTGTATTAAACATGCATGACAGTTTTCACCAATCCACCTCTTATGGTTCCCCAACCAACAACTAGGTGAATGCAGACAAACAAAAAGGATATTTCTGACTGCTCAAGGAGATACAAGAACTGCGGTGTTTCCAGCTATAGGCTGGCGACTAGCAGCATTCTCCAAGAGCTTCCACACTTCCTTCCGTTCCTTGACTGCAAAGTTTAGCTTCTCTTGTTCCTCGTTATAAATGGAAATGCAAGTCAGGACCAGGGAGTCGTCCATTTCTGAGAACATCTTTTTTACGTTTAAGGATAAGTTGAGCACAGCCTGGTTCCAGTGGTTTTGAGCGTTGCTTTCTAGAGCCGGGAGTATAATGGGCAGAATCACATGCCGGTTATGTGCAATTAGATTGAGAACTTGGTCATTGTTCCAGAAGAACAGAGCCCTTTCGGCTACCTGGCACAGACAAGATAAACCATTGTTCTAGAAAATCAGTCGTCAATTAACAAACCACGTTTTTTTCATCATAGACAAACTTGTGTTACTTAGGGGGACAAGGACGAAAAGCATATATACAGTCAATTTCACCATCGAGGACATAGAACTAGAACATCTAGTGAAAGAGTTGAAATGATGGTCAGCAAACCAAAATCCATCATTCAAACGTATAAACATGTTTCAATGAGCAAAAGATGAAGAAAAAATCCAGATTGACTCCTCTGGATCCCTCTATCAAGGAATAGGTTTCCTTTTAGTTTTTTTTCCCGTGTGGACATCTTTGAGATGGATTAAGGTGGGTGGAAGCCTTAGGTAGGTATGTAGAAAGAAAATGGCAAGAGAAATGATTCCCTTATTAAGATGCTTACAACCCCATTCAGAACACATAATCATTAAGTTAAGAAATAGCAATGTGTGAACGGTAAATCCATAAAAAGGTTAAGAAATAAATTGAAGAGCAACAACCTCTCCTGAAACCCGATTCCCACATCACTCCCTCAAAAATGGTCGACAAGATTTTATAAAATTCTACATTTCACCTCCAAATTAAGTCCATGAAGGTCTCCATAATATTCCCCACTCAACAACACAAACTACCTCAGCACAGAGCAAAACACGTGCGATGAAGATTCCTCTGTATCCTCTTCATAGTTTTTACAGATTAGAGCCTCAATATTATCATTTCAACAAATTCCCATTTTCAAGTCTCTATTAACTGCACATCATACAAATCAATAATGCTTGTGACAATTTCTTTTCTCAACTTCTACGTCCAGAACACAAGCCAAGCCATCTGCGAATGCTAATGAAGACCTTTCACTTCGTGAATCACCACTAAACCTTCTCCCAACATCCAGAAAACACAATTAAACAGTAACTCCACAAAAGTACAAAAATCATGCATACGGGTCTGATCTCTTTAATGTCAAAAAATTAACCGGACCATATAGTGATATATGGAGGGCTAACTTAATTAGTCCGAGCAGCAGAAAGGCTTCTATTGGAATTTGGAATCCAAAGCACCAAGAAACTACCAAACACTAACATTCAAGACCTAATTATCACATAAATCGCTATCAGCGGCATTTTTCAAAAAACCGTAATTGAGACTTGAATTAAGTGTGCCTCACAGCTAGGCGAACAAAAAATGCATCAAGGCACAGATAGCGAGACAGTTTTTGGAGACGCCTCAAGGCTAGTAGTAGAGAAACTCATTTAATTTGCTTTAGGTGGGGGCCCACAAACATTAAAAATAATTATGCACACCCTTCACGAATAGCCAAGTGCCCTACCAACTATTACTAAGAGTGTGTTTGGCACGTGTTTGTAAACACTTGCTAGAAGTCAAACCACTTTTTATCCACATATTTCTTAGAACCCACAAGTACTATCCACTTATCTCTACTCATTTCTATATGTTTAAACAAAACTTTTTATGAACACGTGCTAAACATATGCTAGAACATTAACAAGTAGTGTTTTCAGAGTGACCCCACTTTGGCAATCGACAATTACTAAAATGTTAAAATTGTGTTTTCCCATGAACCACTTTTGGAATTACTCCCTGCCCACTACCAACTAAAGTAATAGGTTTATTACGCACTCCATTTGCACTTTTTGGTTTGCAATAAGGTTTATGCCTCAAAACACCTTGAGGTTTACACCTTGCCTCCCAAAGGGAAAACATGCAAGTACCAACACCTATATATAAACATTGATATTGAGCAAAATATTTAACTTGTAAAATTTTACATTTAGGTTAATAAGTTGCTTAGATTATTCCATCAACTCCTAATTAAGAATGTTTTGAAAAATATTTCTATGTTTTGACTATAGTCGGAGTAACGTGAACAAAGCTCTACAACTTTGATTCCTAATGAGATTGATAGTCCACTGGAATAATCTAGAGCAGCAGCCAGGCAAGTAAGCCCCTGTTTTACGGCCATTATTTGGCAAAGACAAAGTTTTGATCAGTATAGTTATGAAAAATGTGTGGTTAAAAAATGGAGAAAAGTTTTCGATTTACCTACAGAACATTTTATTGTGTAAATGTATGATCATATGTATGTAGAATAATGAGTTTTGAAATAATGGTTATCAAACAGAGGCTGAATATATGTTTGGTTGATCAGCTTAATGTTAATGATTTCAGAAAATAACCATAGACAAATGAAATATTGGAAACAAATCTAAACTAAAATTAAATAGAAAAATTAAAGAAAGAAAAACTGCCAACATATTTCAGTGCACACATATTGACACCTGCATTATGTAGCTATACACGTGCACTCACAAAGACACTTCTATTTGACAAGCTCTATTGAAGCCAAGAAAAAGTCAAACCAGTAAGCCAGAATTCCGAGGAAAAGGCCCAAGTACTTGTATGCACATAATGAAATTCATATAGAGAAATTCAAAAATTCAAACAATAATATGGTATTATTAACCCCAAAATGAGCAAGAGGTACTCTCTTTTTCTTTACAAAGTCCTTGTTTTCCTTAACTAGGGAAGCATTTTTTTCCCTCAACGGGTTTTGGATTACGAACTTGCCTAACCAAAACCGACATCTTCTTCCAGATTTGGCAGCCATGCATTCACAATTGCTGTGCCTGTCACCTTAAAAAATGTATTTTTGAATTCCCAAAATTTTTCTACTTTAGGCACAAAAAGGACTTTAATAATCGAACTCTTCTACAATCTTTTAGCAATGAGAGATCCAGGAAGCATATCTAGGAGAGAAACGCGGAATAAAGTTATGTTTTGGGACAACTATGGAATTTAACCAAAACATTGGGGGCAAAACTCTATTCTTTCAAAGAAGCATATTATTTTTTTTATGGCTTTTTTTAATATCTAGTAGAGCTTTCAATTCTTGAAATGGGTTTGTTTTATACTCCCACCATCAAGAAAAAATGACCAAACTACAATTTCATTTTGGCAAAAGAAAACTTAGCAGTTCGCCAAATCCTTGAAACTTAGTGGTGACTCGCCTCAAACTAAGCCCCCTCTTCCGTGATGGAAGAAAGATCAGCTATATTCTTTATGTTCATGCACATGACATGACAACCACTAATATGATGTATTACAGGTCTACACTAAAAATAACTATAATAAAAAGGAATGCATGCACAGACGCTGATGGTGCATGCAGGACCTAATGCACACACCCTGCAGTCCGTGGAATAATAAAGTTTTAAAAGTGTAAACTTGAGGAAGTACTGCAATAAAATAAGTGAGGGCATAAGAGTATAGAAGTTAAATAAAATTTCATTTTGGCAAAAGAAAACTTGGAAATACGCCAATTCCTTGAAACATAGTGGAGGCTCGCCTCAAACTATGTCCACTTTATCGTGATTGAAAAAAGATCAGCTATATCCTTTTTTTTCATGCACATAACAACCACTAATATGATGGAATACAGATCTAGACTTAAAATAACTAAAATAAAAAGGAGCAGATGCACAAACTGATGGTTAATGCAGGACATTGTGCACATAACCTGTATAGCTGTAGAAAAATATAGAAGAGGGACTCGTGACATAAAATAAACGAGGACACAGAGTATAAAAAAGGCCAATACCAGTCTTAACCTCTTGTTCTCTTGACTTCCAATATATGCACAAAGATGTACTATGCTGTCTTAATATACAGTTAACAAGGATGCCAACATCAAATAAGTAAATGCATTTATGTCACAACTTGTTTTGAATAAAATTGGTATTCAACCTTTCAGCAGCCAAAAAGCTTTTACAGAAATAAAGATGTCAAGATTTAGATTCTAAGGGAAATAATTTGTCCTTTATCAATCAATGAAAGTGACAAATAAACAGAAGTAAATGTTTATCCGTTGGTATTCATAGTATCTCCTTGAAGAAACACATATTTTGACAAGTCTAACAAATATGGAAAACAAATTTATATAAATCCAAGAAAAGGATCAGAAGTGTCATATATAAAACATATGTGAACAACTGGAACTATACAGGTAGCAGAAAATGGGAAATTACCTGAAAATGGAAGCTATTGATACATTGTCCAATCCTCCAGAATAATGGAACCATCACTTTTTGGAACTCAGCCATGTTAATTGCTTCCAGAATCTCTTCCAACTCACTTAAGAACATTACCTCCTTCTGACTATTTGTGATCGGCCAGTATTTCAATAGACCCTTAATCACGCCACCTGCCAACTTTGGCTCCTTCTCTATAAACTGTGTCACACAATATGACAGCTGCTGAAAGTAAACCGCCAGTGACTTTGGCTTGTGCAGCGGAATCAACGCCCTCCAAAGAAAAATCTTATGCTCCTCCTTCAATGGCAAAGCAAATCCAGTAATCACACTCCCAAAAATCTCCAACAACTCCGCAATGCCATTATGCTTCTCGGTCTCAAATACAAATCTGTAGAATACATGGCTTATACTCTTCCTTACAAATGGCCGGTGAACCATAAACTTACCATAAATCCTATGCAGAATTGCCTTCAGACAATCCCTTTCCCTAGGATCCTCAGAATGAAACAAGTCAATAGTCCTTAAAATAAAGGAATGATTTATATACTTCTTTGCAACCTTTGCTTCCAATGAAGGTGAAGTCACAAACTTGAGCAAGAAATCATAGACTATTTGCAAGTGAGACCACGCGGGATCAAATGTTGGCTCAGAGTCATTGTCGTTTTCACCTAAATTGGTGTTACTCGACTGATAATTAGGAGGGAAATTACGGAATATATTAATGGAGCACATTTTGCATGCAGCTAAAATTGCAGGCTCTGAGAACTTTGGAGGGTTCTGTGATACGAAATCAAGAAGCTCAAGCAGTGTCGCTCGTTTGAGCTCCTTTTCATGAGTGTTTTTCACTGGGTCAATGAAGTCAAACACCACGCAGCAGAGGCTCAACTTACTGATGAAAAGATTCAATTTTTCAGAGCTTGGTACATCTTTAAAAGCCAGCATTGGTTCAATGCCGGCAATCACACTGGCTGGGAACACCGCAGCCCGTTTGACAGCAGGGCTGGCAGCATTAGCCCGGCCTGAGCCAGGGGATGAAGTATTGATGCTGGAGTTAGGGATTCTTGCAGAATCTACATCCGATTTTGTGGATTTGCGAGGGAGTTTGCTCAAAATCTGCTTCCACATTCTGGAATCTCTTTTCCCTTTGCAGATGGACGAATTTTTTGGAAAGTGGAAACAAATCGAAACTTTGCGGTTTTCAAATCAAAGGCATTTGGGATGAAGGGAATGGATCAAACCCTGAACTTGGCGAGTCATGCATGGATGACGAAAATTGGGGATCTGGAAAAGAAGCCCTAGATTGAGAATGTACTTTAGATTACAACGTATACCTCATAAAGGCGAGATCTTTAAACAAAAGCTGAACCAAAAAAGTCACTAAAATGCAGTGAAACCCTAGAAACCATTAAAGAACCCATTTTTTCAAACTAAAATCAAGAAAGTTATAATAGTCTCCTCCTTTACAAAACCCATATCGGAATACACGCACAAACATGCGAATGAATTTCTGCATCCATTCATGTACACATCTACAAATAAATATATGTGCACGCATATAGAAAGAGAAATGATGACGATTGTAATTAGCTTGAACAAACCTTGGATTATTTAGAGAGAGAAAGAGAAGAAGCCACTCAAACACACACGCAGATTGCAGACAGATGTTGGATCGTCATTTATACATGGAATCTACTTATATATGTATGTATGTATTTATATACATTATATGGAATTTAGAGAGAGAGGTGTGCGTGTCTCTGGGTGTGTCAGTGGTTGATTATGAAAATCGCCATTGATGAAGGGTGGAGAGTTTAAAAGAGAGGATCAATCCGTTAATTGCATTTCTTCTTTGTATGCTTCCTTTTATAAAACCAAATGATGAATTCACCTATCTGTGTTCCCTGATATGGGACTATGACCTATAAGTGTCTTAGCGTCTACCCCACTTCGTCCCCACATCCCAACCAAACCTCAAATATAATTACTATTAAGCCCTTGTTAATGTATTTTTAAATAATGATTAATGTAGAATGTATAGTTAAAAATTAATAAATTTTTTTGAATTTATATGTAATATTATTTTACTAAAAAATGTATAATTAAAAATAAATTTTTGGAAGAATGGGACTCAAACAAGGGCTAAATTTAAAATTGTCATGAAAAGAGAGTTAAATTAAAAAATAAAAAAACAAAAGAAGAAGATGAAGAAGAAAATAGAAAAGTCATTATATTCGTGCATGTTTCGTTGAGAATCAAAGCCTCATATTCATAGGGAAGAATCAGTATTGTAAGGAATATAATGGTAATTGAAATTAGGGCTATAATAGTGTAATTCTCAAACACTAGTAAACATATTATTTAAAGCACTCCATCTTGAATGACAAATTATAAAATGATAGTCTTGCTAAAAACTTGATTGATAAAAATTCGATGAGACAAAAATATCAAACGAAAAGAGAAAAAAAAGTTCAGTTATTTTGGAGTATTAAAAATAAACGAGTCTCATTAAAACTTTATTGAGAAAATTCATTAGCATAAAACTTAAGCGAAGGTAAAAGAGTAGACCTACTCCCTCTAACGTTGATTATTGAAAAATTTTGAGTTGATACATTTCAATCGCGTGAACCAATTTCTTAAATGTAGATATCGGCAGTGCTTTTATGAATAAATTGGTCACATTACTTGAGCAAATTTGTTAAACGTCAATGTCGCATTCTTCTTAAGCTTATGTATATGGAAGAATTTTGAAAAAATATGTTTCGTCCTGTCACCTTTAATATGAGTTGAGATTTACTGTCCAATTTTATTTTCTTAATAGATGTCCATTCACTGAATTGTTGACATATCATCAATAATTTACGTATCACCTTAAATTTACCCTCATTGATTTCACCACTAACCAATCAAATTGATGACATGTCAATAATTCGTTAGATGGACAACTATTTGGACAACAAAGTTGACAGTAGATCTCATCTCCTTTTGATATAGGCTCATTTGAGTTGTGCAATAAAAGATACATTGTCTTCATAAAATATTGTTGGACAATCTTTATATATGTTGGGTTATATTCATCAACCATACACATTTTCGCCCTACTTCATGAATTATAATAATTTCAAAACGATTGGAAGTTGTTGATGTCAAGGTTTGCTTCACGTATCTCCACGATATAGCTACCCATCCACGTGTAAATGTATATTCTATTTGGGATTTAACTTTATGTAGATCAGATAGATAACCTTTATGTGCATATCCTACTAAAATGGATTCCGATTTTCTAGAATAAAATAATTCAAAATCAGTAGTACCTATCGGGTTACGAAAATATGTTTAACACAATTTCAATGCTTTAAGTTGGTGTGAAATTATATCTTCAATGAAAATTTTAAAAAAAAAAAAAAAAAAAAAAAAAAAAAAAAAAAAAAACTATGTCGAGTGTACAATTTGCAAGATAGGCTAATACTCTAATTGCATTATAATATAATATTTCATGACCAAAACATTTTGGCAAACATCAATTGGATGAAACTGGATATTTTTCCAAATCAAAGATGTACTAATCCATATAAAAACGTTTTAAGACTGTTTCTGTATATGAAGATTGATAAACAAGTAATCATTTTGAAAAATACTAATGGATGTCCAAATATTTTTCGCTCTCTAAGTAATTCAACTTTACTTGTATGACTTCTTTCCATCTCGATCAATCATTTATGTGCGAAAATCTTTAGCAGACCATTATTCAGGATCCTCATTTTACTTAGTTTTAAAAGTCACGTAAAGGCGAAAAATATTGTCTATATTAATATTATTTCATTACCATAATTTATGAAAAAAATAAATAATTTATTAAAATATTATTATTTTTGAACATTTGTGATTGTAGGAATCAATATTTTCAATATTTTGTTGATCAATTTTTTCTAATATTATTTCTTCCAAAATTTTTGATTGATTTTTTTCTTATAGTATTTTTTTATTATTATTTTTTTGAGGTGTAGGGTTTTTTGAACTAATTGGACGATCACGCTTCTAACAATTTGAGATTCATTTACTGTAGCAGGTTGTCTTATAAGGATATCAATTTTTATTGAAATATTTTATGTTGATATATATAACGTTTTGTTTGTCAACAAATACATCAAGTAATTGATTTGCAACTTTTTGCAAGTGAATGATTTTTTTTAACATTTTCCACGCATTGATTGACGCAGGGATTCAAAAAAAATTTTACCTTATTTTTCAGGATATAGATTTGCTCCTCCAAAAGTTGAAAAAGACATTTCATCAAAATGACTATATGTAAAATGTACTATAAACAAATCAACACTTAAAGGTTCAATAAACTAAATAATATATGGTGAATCAAAACCAATATAAATCCTAAATTTTCGTTTGAGGCCTATTTTAGTATACTGCAAGGGTGAAATAAGAACTTAGACAACAAAATCACTCGTAAATGAAAAATATTATATTCTTAACCAAATGAAAGTTGTAAAAGTAAAAATTAATAATAAACAATTGGTCTTATACGAAGAAATTATATAGCATGTTATATGGCATGACCTCAAACATAAGTTGAGAATTTTGTTTTTCATAAGTATTGTCTAACAATAAATTATAGAAGTTTCATAAACGATTCCGCTAAATCATTTTGTGTATGAATATGTGCAATCGAATATTCAATAACAACCCCAATCGACATACAGTAATCATTGAATACTTGTGATCTACACTAGCATTATTAAGACAAATTGTCTTGATTGAGTAATCTAGGAATTGAGCTCATATTTTTATGATTTTGACAAGTAATCTAGTAAAAGCTACATTTCTAATGGAAAGTAAGCAAATGCGTGATAATCTAGTAGACGAATCAATTAATATCATAAAATGACGAAACAGTCCACATGGTGGGTGTATTTACCCGCATATATCTCCATTAATTCTTTTTATGAAAGTTGGAGATTCAACATTAACTTTTGTCGTTGAAGGTTTGACGACTAATTTGTCTTGCGAACAAGTAGCACATGAATAATTATTAAATAAAAGAATTTCCTAGATTTTTAGAGGACGTCCGTGTAAGTTGTTATTATTCGACGCATCATTATAGCTCATAAATATCCAAGTCGATTATGCTAAAGTATAAAAAACCTTGGGTCAACGAACTTCGAGCTCACGATAATGTTTGATTTAATTATTTTTATGAATATATAGTACTTGCCAGAAGAGAGTGTTGGGAGTTTTTCTTTTATCTGCTTCGGCCAAATATAAAAGAAATTATGCAAAAATATTTTATAGCATTTTCTTGCATTGTCTCAATGTAATATCCATTGCAACGAATATCTTTAAAATTAAGCAAATATCTTCCAAATTTGCTAAAATAAAATGTATTATCAATATATAATTTTTTATTATTTGATAAAATAATGCAAATTCTTCTGGAGCTTTCAATAGTATTCAAAGCACTTGATATCCTATTAACATTATTTTCTTAATATTAAGTCCAAAAGAATACTTTTTGTCTTGAAAAATCGTATGCTAAGTTGCACTATGAACTAAATAGTTATCTTGTCAATTCTTCTTGAGTTTTGTAATATTTGCCACTCGAGTAACTACACAGTAAAATAAAAAATTACAATTATTTTTTTTGAAAAAAGTGATTAAACATTGTATAATCACATAATAATCAATGCTAACATATTTATAGAAAAGAATTATGACTACAAGAAATATAATGATAATAATAACTAGGATTACATGGATATAATTGTCATCCAATAATAAACATATAATTTATAACAGAAATAAATTATTATTGGGTGAATTTTAGTTACTTAATAATAAACTCTATTCGAGTTCTCATATCCATCCTATCTATCTCTCCGACTTATTTGATTAATTGCAATGAATTAGGGCATTTGTTCATTTGAACAAAAGAGTTTCAATATAGTTCTTTCAATGAATTGAGAGATCAACCACCTAGCACTCAACTGAAAATGAAAAATCTCGTCGATTTCAAAGTGCCTTAAAAGTTAGCATCTTCAAAGCACTTAAGCTTATGGAAAGTTCTTTTTATGATTATTTAATGTTATGAATAAATGATATGATGACAGCATGCAATTAGAGATAGCAACAGACAAGAGGAGAAGATCCGATGATTAAAATATACATAAGTTCATACCATATTTTGTCGTTTACAATCTATTTATTTTCTTAAATGCAGTTTAAACTTAAAAATAATAAATAACAAATAAGAGTCGGGGCAGACACCATGTTCACCATCCCCGTTAAGATCCTGAACTCACCAGCAAGAAGAAATTAACAATATTTTTAATTTTGAATTGCTCTACTAGACTTTTTTTTTCTATATAAAGTATAAAAAATTATCAATAAAATTTTGGAAAATTAGCAGTCATAATTCCCTTTTCTTTCATTTCTTTTTTTTTTTTATAGCAAGTTTTACACTAACCTTTCGTTTGTTGCATTCAAGAATTTGTAACAATAATAACAAGAATCCCTCTAAGAAAAACAGGGTGAAAATTTGCAGCCTCTTTATTTCAAGAATTTCTTCAATTGCAAACCCTGTTTTTATGTTCAACTGCAACCCTTATTTCTTATCTTTATCTTCAATTGTTTGTTCAACTAATTTTTTTAAGGAGATATTGGGTGTGTGGTGGATCCATATTCTTGGTATTTGGGCATCTCAAGCTCAAATTATTCTAGAAAAATAACTTGAAGCCATTGGGAGTCATGTCATTCTTTAAAGGAAGTTATTTCAGAGGTGGGCGACTATGGTTTGCAGTGGCAACTGGTGGCGGTGAGTGGGTGGTGATGATGCTTTTTAGGAGTGTTTCGTGCGGGTTAGTCGCTAAC